AAAGGGAATAATTAAAAAAAAAAAAAAAAAAAAAAAAAAGAGACAGATTTTATAATGTGTTAGGTGAGATTTGTATTGCCCCTTTTTCTATTGGACCGTTTTTTTTTTTTTCTATTTCTTCAAAGTTCATTTATTAGGAAAAAAAAAACTAATTTGTTCGAATTAAAACTCTTAAGAATGATACATTTTCTTTATTTTTTTCATTCATTTTTTTTTTTTAGAATCCACAACATTTTATTTGTCTTTTAGGCAGGCTACTGAGTCCTAAATCTTATGAGACATAGGACAACAGGTTTTTTTTTTCTATTATTTTCTTTTCTTTTTTTCAGTAATCAATATAAAAATAAATTATTAATAATTTTTTATTTTTTAATCATTAAATTCATAAATGTGATTATTTTATATATTTTTTTAATTTAATATAATTTTAATTAAATTCAACGGTTAAAAATTAAAATATTAGTGAGACAAACTAAGGAGAAACTCCCTTACAAATTTTATTAATAAAATTTTTTTTTGATACGCCTGACTTACCTATACTAGAAAATGTCTCGTATTAATAATCCATATTACGTGGGCTAATGGCCAAACTTTAATAATTATATTTTTTTTTAAAAAGTAATTTTGAGAGAAGAGTCAAATGTCAAGATGTCCACGTGGTGGTCGATGAGATAAATTATCTAATTGAAATTTGCAGAGAGATTGCGATGTGGGACCCATTTCATGGTTATGTTGAATCATGGGCGGTGATATGTTTTTCTCAAAGCGACCCCACAGTAACAGCATGCGACTAGTGACGTGTTACAACTTTTTTTTTTTTTTTTGCTGGTTAATGACGTGTTACAACTTACAAAGTTACAATCTTATTAGGAAACATAAATACCATCCTTTCTAATTTTGTTCAGACAGTTCCCAAATCTTAAAAAAAAGTGAACTCTCCAAATGCTCCAAATGTCACCCTAATGAGAGAAAAAAAAATGCAGCAAAAGATATATTAGAACATAAATAATAATAAAAAAAGAATTATGTTATTTTTATTACACAGCTGATTCTTGATTAATACTTTTGTTTTTTTAAAAGTAATAAATTTTTATCAATTTATTTTTAATATTGATTCATGTGATAAATGAGTTGTTATTTTTTTATCAGAAGATTTAACTTTTTTTTATTAGTTGAATCGACAATTTAAAGAATAGATGTAACATCTTTATGTGATTGAAACGAAATGTGAGACATTTTCTTAAATAAATAAATATCACGTTAGTTGGTATTAGAACATAGAGATAAACATTGAGATTCTCTAGCATTATTTTAATTGGATAATGTTGTTGGAAAATGCATATTAGAAATAATGAAATTGAATTGGGTGCAGAGTGGAAGTAATAACTATGAGGGTGTGAAGGTGAGTGATGTGGAGCCACGACTTGTATTTCATAATGGCATTCCAAGTGGCTCTAACATCTTTGCTTATGATCCTCTCCAAAAAATACTCGCCATTTCTACTCAGTAAGTATTAACATATAGTTATACAACATTAAAAATTTTCTGTACCATTATTATGTCATTATTATAATTATCTACAAATTCATGAATTCTCAGGGATGGCCGTCTTAAATTATTTGGAAGAGACAATACTCAAGCTCTACTTCAATCTAAGGAAGCAGAGCCAACCAAGTTTCTCCAGGTTTTTCATGCTTCATATCTATCCTTTTTTTTTTGGAGTGGTTGGATAAACTTATGAAAATAAAAAATAAAAATAAAAATGCTTTAAACTTATAGTGATGAGGCTGGTTTTGCATATATACTCAGTTCTTTCACAACCAAGGCATCCTTGTAAATGTGACTTTCAAGAACTACATTGAGGCAAGTTTTAATTTTCCCAACTCCCTAATTCTATGCTGCACTTAATTATTTTAGATGTGCTATATATGTTTTTAAGTATTACTTTCAAATATAATATATAGCTATTGTTTGTGAGAGTTAATTAATTTTGATCTCAAACAAAAACATAGGTTTGGGACATTGAGAACAAAGTGTGGTCTCATGTGCATGCATTTCAACATGAGATCACCTCTTTTGCAATAATGCAGCAAAGTCCCTACATGTGAGTGTGTGTGTGTGTGCGCGCCAAAAATCAAGTGATGACAAGAGTCTAGAAGATGAATGTCATGCACCTTTTCATACAAACATTTGACTCTGCTCTTTCCATATGTAAATTGGCAGGTACATTGGAAATTCTCTTGGCAATGTTTCAGTTTTGAAACTCGAGAAAGAACCGTTCCGTATAGTACTAGTACAAACGAACTACACGATACCCTTTTCAATTTCTCATGGTAAGACAGAACAGACGGACGGACTTGTCGGGTTCTATTTTTGTACCACCTTTTCTATTGCTGCAATGCTTAATGTATTGTATTCAAATCATCTCGTTTAGGGAATTCGACTGAAGTTTCTGCTGAGAATGCCGTGGCTCATATTCTGCCTCAACCAATGGCAGAAAGTAAGAGGTACTCTACCAACAAGACCTTGTTGGCCTACTCTATGTCATGTGATGACTGAATCCTCCTTTTCTTTGACATTACTTGTTTTTGTTACAGAGTTCTGATAATATTTAGAGATGGTTTAATAGTTCTATGGGACATTCGAGAAAGCAAACCCGTTTTCATAACTGGCGGAAACGTGTTGCAATCACTGCATCATGAAGCAACCAAAGCAACATCCGCATGTTGGGCATGCCCTTTTGGGACTAGAGTTGTTGTTGGTTACAACAATGGGGAGATCTTCATCTGGAGTATTCCTCCTATCATAAACTCAAGAGCTGGATTAGCATCTGACTCTCCCACGCAAAACACTCCGGTATGCAAACTCAATGTTGGATATAAATTGAACAAGATTCCTATAGCATCATTGAAATGGGCCTATGCTGATGGCAAAGCGAGTCGACTTTATGTCATGGGAGCCTCTAACTTTGAGTCTGAAAACTTGTCCCAGGTATGCGTATTCTCTTGAGAATAATGCTAGCGGTTTCCAACTTTTATTCTAATTTTTCGATACCAACCAACGTAGCATGTGAGTTTCCATTCTTCTACTAGAATGTGTTTAAAAATTTGTCACGTCAATTCATATGAAAAAATTAAATCTACTCTCACCTGCCACATGAGTTGGTATCAAAAAATTGATAAAATAGTTGGTACGACTAGCATTACCCTTCTCTTTACTAAACTCTTTAAATGCTATATGAGTTACTTTGTCACAAACATATTTAAGTAAAATGATAATTTCTAAATTTGATGAAGCAGGTAGTCCTATTGAACGAGCACACTGAATCCCGCATGATCAAACTCGGGCTACATTTGCCCGAGCCTTGTAGTGACATGGACATCATATCAGGTGCTAGTGAGCAAGGCAAACATAGACAAGTTTATTTCCTTTTGGTTGGAAAATCAGGCCATATTTATGTCTATGATGATTGCTCAATTGAAAAGTACCTCCTACAACTGCAATCTAGGTCCCATAATACACTTCCAAAGGAAGTTATGGTGAATATGCCTTTTGTTGATTCAAGCATCACTGCAGCCAAATTTATAACTGATAATCCTTCTTTAGATTTTGCAAATGAGGTAAAATACAACTGAAAGTCCATTATGTGTTAAAACAAACTAAAGCTTTTAGAGTCTTTGCACAACATGATTGTAATTTTTGGGCTTTATCTGTTTAGCATTATGGTTGTTTTGATATTGCAGGACTATGCTGTGCTGGCAAAAGATTTTCCTCATATGTTTTCTTTGGAGAACAAAACGAAAGATGGGTCAACTCAGTTTAGTGGATTTTCCAAGGTTAAAAACTTGTATATAACCGGGCATAGAAATGGAGCCATAACTTTTTGGGATGTGTCTTCCCCAATTTTCATCCCAATACTCTCACTAAAGCAACAGGTAACAATACTTTCTCATGTAATTGTTCTTGTTACGTATGCAGTTGTAAACTAGGAGATTTGGATGAAATTAGGGAAAAAAAACTGAAAAGGGACTAAAGAATTTGAAGATTCTTATATTTCTTCAATGGCATTATAGTAGTACTTGTAGTTTTCGGGATACAATCAAGAAGTTGACTATGTATTGTTGAATTATTGGAAAATTTGATATGATCCACCACTACAATCCTTCTCTCTCTATCTCTATGTTACTAATTCTCATCTTTTGATACTTGAATACAGAATGAAGATGATACATCTGTGAGTGGCATAGCAGTCACAGCATTGTCTTTCGACCACAATTCGCGGCTTCTAGTTTCAGGAGACCAGAGTGGAACGGTAAAATTCTTTTTCCTTTTCTTTACATATAAGCAGTTGAATTATGATCATTTTGCTCTCCTTTAGTGTTACAAGTTGTGTTGTGCTTTCCACAACATTCTAAACCTGCAGGTTCGCATTTATAAACTCAAACCCGAGGCATATGGTACAGAAAACAGTTTTTTGTCTCTTCAAGGTACTAATTCTACATGATTCAATTACAAAGCTTTAACTCTACTGTTTTATAATTAGTTTATTCACAAGCCCATGCATACTTTTTAATATTTTTTTCTTAGCAGGAAGCACCAAGAAAGGAAACTGTCACATTATTGATAGCATTAAGCTCATTAAGATTAATGGTGCTATACTTTGTATGAATATAAACCAAGACTCCAAACATCTAGCAGTTGGTTCTGATCAAGGCTATGTGAGCTACTTTCTATTGTTTCTTTTTTCCATTTTCATTATCAAGGCCTGATCATCTTGGTATATGATATGATTATCCTTTCCAATCAGGTTTCAGTTGTTGATATAGAGGGTCCCACTCTATTATATCAACAACATATTGAGAGTGAACTGTGTACTGGAATAGTCTCGCTTCAGTTCCGGAGCTGCAGTTTACATGGTTTTGAGAAGAATGTGTTGGCAGTTGGGACCAAAGATTCATCTGTTTTGGCTCTTGATAGTGACACTGGAAATAAACAAAGCTCTACCAGTGTTCATCCCAAGAAGCCTTCTAAAGCTCTTTTCATGCATGTCTTGAGTAAGTAACAGATTACATCTTTATTTGACAGACTACCATATGAAAATAGGGGGAAAATATGCAGTGTAAAGTTCCTTCCTTTTGACTCCTTTTGGTTGACTTGATATCCTAAGACTGGACAAAATTTTCATTTTCGCACAACTTTCTTACCTTATTTAAAGACAATACTAGCACCTAACTTTGAACGAATCTCTCACCAGGGGGTGAAATTTGTAAGGGATTCGCGATATGCAGGGATAATTTTATAATTACCAATAATACAAGGTTAAACACTGTATTTCACTTAAATGCAAGGAGGAACTTTGTAATTTCCCATGATAATGTTGGCTCTCTTAAAGTTGGTTTACTCTGATTCTCCCACTCCTAGACCAAAAAAAAATGGAAGATGTTTGTAATCTGATTTCTGGCAACATTGAAGAATCTGATCACATAAAGATGTTTACACTTTAAACAGACGGGCAAGACACACCAGGCAAAGGGAATGCTTCTGAGGGGTCCGGGCCGATGCAACCGTTATTATTGCTATGTTCTGAGAAAGCCTTGTATTTGTACTCCTTCACACATGTCATTGAGGTTAATAGTGTTTTTATTTCACTCGTTAGCAAACTTGTATCGTTTAAAATGACTTGATCATCTCACTTTCTTGGTATTTTAGGGAGTTAAGAAAGTCATCTGCAAGAAGAAGTTCCAATCCTCTTGTTGTTGGGCATCAACATTCTATAGTTCCTCCAAAATCGCCCTTGCACTCCTTTTTTCCAATGGAAGAATTGAGATAAGGTGGTGATTTCCTTCTCCCCATAGATATGATTCGACTAAAAATTGAATTATGAGCCACCTTGAAGAAACTACATGGCCTTTTTTGTTTTCATTTCAAACATAATTTTCAAACAAATCAAGAATGTCTTAAATTAGAGGACTCAAAAGTTTTTGTTCTTGTCACTTGTTTGTGAAACTTTAGGTCGTTGCCGGAGTTAACCCTACTAAAGGAGACTTGGATAAGAGGTTTTGCATATTCTACTCCAAAACCAAACTCACTATCCAACACTTCCATATGCTCCTCCTCAGAAGGAGATATTGTCATGGTACAGCCGTGAAGAGTTAGCTATTTCAGAAGACTCTTCTTTAAGGAAATAAATTCCCTTTTAACTTGTTTCTGTTCGTTCTTCCGTGTGAAGGTGAATGGTGATCAGGAAATATTCGTCGTCTCGGTTTTGTCCCGCAAGCAAATCTTTAGGTGCCTATTTAGTTTTGTACATATTTGTACTCTCAGTTTCAGGTGCGTTTGCTAACTGTGTGTTGCTTCATTTTAGGCATTTGGAGTCAGCTAGCCAAGTGTATAGGAAAGATCTGGTGGTTTCACAAGAAGAAGGGCTTGTATCTGCAGGACCCTTCATCCACAAGGAAAAGAAGAAGGTACTAAATATGGTGCATTGCATTGCGTTAGTAGGACCAATTTGGGATTGTAACATAAAATGAAGGGGCCATCACCAGTGTCAACAGAAAGACCTTTGCAGATACACACACTGATGCAGTTTTATATAACTATTTTGAGAAGTCAGAGACTTTTCGCTTTTAACTTCTGCTTCTGCTATAAATTAAAAGTAGGGTTTCTTTCAGATTAATTTACAACCTACGATTCCAGGGTATATTTAGCGCCGTCATCAGAGACATTACTGGCAGCAAGTCAAAGCCTGTTCCTGATCACGCAGATATAGAAGATGCTAGGAAAAGTTTGAAGGAGCTTGAAACAATCTTCTCAATTGCCAACTTTCCGGTTCATACCGACGATACAGATAATAAGGCCATGGATGAAGGAGAGGTTGACTTGGACATAGGTATCTGATTTCATTTGCATAACATGTTGCCTTGCTCGCTCTTGACATGATTTAATTTACGACCATTTCAAGTATAAGCAAGTTTGTTCTGCTCGTTTTCTTGCATGTTCATCCAGTTTCCTTGCCTCCCACGGCAAGTTTTCTTTTTCTTTCTTGTACCAAATTCTATCTTGTTCTTGGAGATGGTCAGTAACAAGACTTTTGTTTTTAAAGATGACATTGACATTGACGGTGCCGCCGAAAAACCCAAAGAACAGAATATGTTGGCTGCTGCTCTAAATAAACAGAACTTGGCAAGCAAATTTCGGGTTTTAAAAGGTCAGTATGAGATGGGGTAAATCCGTGCATGTTATATTTCCAATTCAAGATTATAAACAACACAAAAAACTAGGCGTTGTTACCATTAATCCCACCCATCTTACTCAATTTTAACTTGTTGGATTTACAGGTAAACTGAAACATGGGAAAACCAAAAATGAGAAGAACTCGACCAAGGAAGAACAGCAAGATGAGAAGGCTGCTGGTACAGTTGATCAAATAAAGAGGAAATATGGGTTTTCTAATGCTAATGTAAGCATGCATATCCAATTCAGCACTCTCTTATATGTTTAACCATAACGTTTGCTGTTGTATCTAATCATTATTGTGTTTGCAGGAAACAAGTGTTGCTAAAATTGCTGAAAGCAAGCTGCAAGATAACGTGAGAAAATTTCAGGTATATATTTCTTCTTAATCCCACGACTAATTTGCTAGACATCTTATGACAAAACGTTACTATGCAAGATTGTGATCTTTCTACACAAGTCAATGGTTATTCAAGGGATATAAGAATTAGCAGTCTAACTGTGTGTGTATTTGGACAAATAAAAATTAATGTGGGACCTCCTGAATTCGATAGGGAATCAGCCTGCGAGCTACCGAGATGCAAGACGAGGCTAAATCATTCTCATCATTGGCAAATCAAGTGTTGCAAATTGAACAGAATAGAAGAGCCTCGTAATCCTTCTCCCTCATTGTATTTATCATACTTGAAAAATATTCACTGGTTCTTATTTGTTGGTTTTTTTCTTCAACCCTTCCATTCTTTTGCACTAAAATACTGTACTCTTCATGTAAATGACAAAAACATGCACACGCAGTGTCCTTTCTGTTGTTGTTTTTACAAAGTTGTAATGAAAAGCAAGAGCGTATGTGGAAATCTCAAAGCCAAAGCCAAAGCCATACGAGAAGAGCAAAACTTCTTTTCATGCATAATCTTAACAAAGTTTTTTATCTTAAGCATCAAGACTACTGTCGAGGACTGAAAAGGACTATTCGGAACAAGCACATACAGTCACTCTGCACCACCTAAGTACCTATTTTTTTCTCAGTAAGTCTACCAATTGTGAATATATCTGGTCTTTGATGGCATCCCTATTGCTCGCTGTCAGCGCATAAATAGATGCTCCAGGATGATTCTTTAATCTAGCAACTGCAGAAGTTGAGACTTCTGATCATTTTCGAATTCGGTACAAAAGGAAAAACAGCAAAAAAGTTTTAGTAATACATACTCCAAGAAAATGGCTCCACTTTAAACTTCCAAACACTGGAAGCTTTTCTCCTTTGAAGGCTTAAATAGACAAAAACTGCTTATGTAACATAAAATGGATTTGTTGAGAAAATGTACCTCCAGGTATATCACGGCCAGACTTTGGAATCGGTACGGTGGCCAAAATTGGGATATTTGATTCCAGAACCTTTAAAACAGCAGGGAAAAACGATGAACTGTACAACTCCATCTTACCGACTTCATCGATGACAAAGAGATCAGTGTCTTCTCTAACCTGAAAGACATACTTATCACAGCATAACTTGCAAAGTACAACATTTGAAAAATGTAAAAAGAGAATAGGATATACTTGCACACGCCCAAAATAAAAGTCCAATCAGACCTCAAAGTGACTGATCAGATTGTTGGTAAATAGTACCGAATCAATCGAACTAATCCCATCTGGGAACAAAGAACTTAAACCAATCAAACAGTAAACAACCAAAGAAAGAGAGCACAAAGAACTATCAACATTCAACACGCCCATCTGACAAGGTTAGGAGCATCTAACTCCGGGACTGAAAATCGGCGAGAAGATCACAAATCACCAGAAAATTTTGATTCTTCAAACACCCTTAAACGGGACTAAGAAATGAGAGTTATATATTAAAAAGAGAAACAACAAAACTTGTTTGAACATAATTAAATGATATTCCAAGCTAAAGCAAGCAACAAAGAGGTATAGCTAATGATTGAAAATTGAGAAGCACCTGCAATTGAGGGAGTGCCAACGACTCAAAGGATGCCACATCTACTTTGTACCTCCCCACAGTTGGCCATCTCAAACACTCTGGGCTGCACCCATTATACACATACTCGTCGTCATATCAAAAAAACAAAAACAAAAAAACATAATAAAAACTCTAATGTGTTGTAACATAAAAATTAAAAAAAATTAAAAAAAAAAAAAAGAAACCACCCACCCACCTAGGAGAAGAGGTGGTGGCGAGTGGAGCTTTATGGCCGTCCAAGGGGACAACTTCGAACCCAACTCTTTCACTTCCTTGTCTGATCTCCCCTACAAGAAACCACCCACCCACCTAGGAGAAGAGGTGGTGGCGAGTGGAGCTTTATGGCCGTCCAAGGTGACAACTTCGAACCCAACTCTTTCACTTCCTTGTCTGATCTCCCCTACAATAAAAATACAAAAATAATAATTATATGTATTCCTTACTAATAAATACAATGGCAAAAAAGTCCAATACTTTTTTGTGTATGAATGAAATCAGAAATAAAGAAAGGAAACATTTACATACGAGTGTAAAAACCCTGAAGCTTCAAGCTGGGATTGGAGGCCTTTAGGCTTTCAAAGGCTTTAATTATCAGAGTTGTTTTACCAATTCCCTTTTCAATTCCACCCATAAATAAATAAATAAAATAAAATAAATCATTAGAGAAGAGAGTAAAGTTTCCATTTTACAAAGATGGGATTAAGTTTGAGATTGGGAAATTTGGGATTGATTTACTAACAGGAGGGCCTGTCACAAGCAAGCATTTCCCACTACCTGCTGCTGCTGCTGCCGCTGCCGCCGCCGCCGTCATCATCTCTCTCCCTCACTCTTTCATAATCTATTATACATTACTAGATGAAGGAAAAAAACAAAAAAACAAAAAAAACGGTTCAAAAAAAAAAAGAAAAGAAAAGAAAACCCTTTTTTGATGATTAGTTTTAGGTGATAATAGCAACCATTTATGTTTTTTTTTTTTAAGCAACCATTTATGTTATATTATTTTTACGGCTTGCAGGTTGAATTTTAAATTTATACTAAATAAAAGACACTCTAATAAAGAGTTTAATTTGTGATTCAAATTGTGAAGAAGAGTGGGCTTAAAATTTTATTTTATGGTTTTTTCTTGCAAAATGACGTTACGAGTACAACTCTCTCTTTTCTTTCTACATTTGATTATAAAAGGGCAAATTGTAAAGAGTAGACTTACATTTAAAATTTATGTTAGTAAATAATTAATTTATCAATTTATAAAAATTAATAGGTCTCCAATTTATAAAAGGGTAATTTATGTTTAAAATTTTTCATTTTCTAATTTTATCTTTTTTTTTCCTTAATCTTACCGTCTAAATCTGAGATTTACATGAGAACAAAATTTTGGTTACTTCGTAAATTTTAGATTTACATGGTAAATTTGAAACCTTATTAACATAAGATAAACATCTTTTAGTTTTGCTCATAAATTTAAAATTTATCGTATGATAAATATAAATTTACCATCAGAATACAAATGATTATAAGTCTAGGATTTACTATAAGAAAATAACTTATGTTCTTTTGCGAATCTTAGATTTACACAGTAAATTTAGAATTTATCATCAAAAACATATTGTGTTTATTTGTAAATCTTGAATTTAAAGTGTAAATCTGGAATTTATTGTTACTAGATTATATTAATTATACTAATATAAGATAAACATTTTTTTAGGCCTCGTTCATTTCACCGGTTCGAGTTTTCAGTTTTAGGTTTCTTCAGTTAAAAGCTCTCAGAAAATGTCACATCTATGTTTTTCTGCTATAGTTAAAAGCTCTCAAAAAATGTCACATCTCAGCTTAAATTGAAAACTCGAATCTGCAAAGTGAATGAGGCCTTAGTTCTGCTTGTAAATCTAGGATTTATTCAAGATTTATGAGTAGAATGCAGATTGTGTTCTTCGTAAATCCTAGATTCCATCTTGACACAATTTGTGTTCTTTTGTAAATCCAGGATTTACACAGTAAATCCAGGATTTACCAACAGAATACATTAATGTATTTACTCGTAAATCATAGATTTACAGTGTAGAAATCGGGAAGACAAAGAGGGTGTGGAGAGAAAGCCAGGATAAATTTTAGGATTTCATTTCATTTTTTAATTAAGGGCATTTTTAGAATGTTAATTTAGTATAAATCTAGATTTACACTCATTCAACCTATTTACAAACTAATTATAAGCCTGACGTATTTATTTTTATTACCTTTTTAATAAGCATGTTTCCCTCAATCTTGGTCTTGTTAATGCTTCCCCCACTACCACCCCCACTTTTACTTTTGCCTTTCATACTCACCCTTATGCCCACGTATTCAGGACAGGGGGTTAGGGTTCGGGAATCCCCATTGGGGAGACTTTTCTTATACCTTACTCATTTACCCATTAAAAAAAAAGAAAATATAACAATACTATTCATAATTAAATAAATTGCATCAAATTAAATATTAAATTCAACATAATATTAACATCTCGTGAAAGTAAACTAAGCTTCAAAAGAAAATTCAAGCTCTAAAAATAACTAATAAGATCTCAAAACCGTATGAAACCAAATTCTAAAAATTCAATCAAAGACGTAAATAATAAATTAAAGTCTTTAAAGTAAAACATTTAAAACGTTAAGAACGTTATTAGTCTAATTTGTTTATCTCTTAAAGAACTCAAGTGTATAAGCATATGCCATACATAATAGGTTCAAGTTAAACAAAATTACTATTTATAATAAGAATTTAGGAATGATTAGGGTTTTTAAGATGGTAAAATAGTAAAATACTTCTAAATTTTTTTAATATCATATTTTTTAAGTACTATTATAAGAAATAACATTTATGTATTAAAAATATTTGTATATCGAGGTGAGGTAAAAGTACTTCTCCTGCCCCCGCCCACCTGCCCCATCCCCATTTAATAACTCATATGTCTGTCCTATTTGGGGGTGGATACACACAGGTAAAATGCTCATCCCTATACGTTCTAATATGTGTTATAGTGTTTTGATTATTGTAGCATTAGTTTTTACCATATTTCTTAGGTCATAAATCATGATCATCAGTTTATACTTTTTTCTTACTTCTTGCAAATACATTTATTTTTCAGAAAAGAATGACTTTATATGCTACATCAATTCTTATGGTTGTGGTTGAATTCTTTGAGACAAATGATTTTTTATTGGATTAAACGAATACGACTTAGGGTTGTTCATTCCCATGGTAATTCATTCAACCAATACAACTATTAAATGTTTTTTTTTTTTTGACAACTTTAAGTGCTATATTTATTGGATTTATATCAATCGGTGAACTCCAATTTTTGGCCTTAAACTAATTAGGATTGGGGAGAAGAAGTGTCAAAATGATCATACTTGGATAAGAATAATCAGAGAACAAGAACATAGTGATAAGTTGAATGGACATTGTTCCTATAATACTCGGTAACCATATCATTGGAATATAGGCACAGCACAGACTCCCACAACATAAGAAATCCCCAAAGTATTTTCACTTTGCTTTCCAAAAGAATTTCAAAGCTTTTTTTTTTTTTTTTTTTTTCCTTTTCCTTTTTCACACTCCATTGCTTTACCTTTCTCACTCACCTTTCTCGTTTCTTTCTTGTGCATATACATATGAACGTTTAATTTGTTAATTTAAATTTTGTTTTCTTGTGCATATATTTGTGAACCGCTTAATTCGTTAATTTAAATTTTTAATTAAAATTGATATACAATTTTATATAAAAATTTTTTATTATAATAAAAAAATTAAATGTGACTATTTTTAAAAAAAATTTATTATAACAAAACTTAAATTTTAATATCAAAAAATAAACTATAAACTTCCTTCTCTTTTTTACTTCTATTCTAGTAAACTTCTTTTAAAGGATGTTTGATTGGAGGATTCAAACCATGTGATTTAAATCATTTTTGACTTACGTGAATTTTTTACGAGAGAAAATACTGTAACAAACTATAAATTATGATTCGAATCAAAAAACGAATCATTCTACCAAACATCCTCTTACTTTTTGATAAGGTGTTAGAGACAATTACGCAACTTCTTTTCCCTCTTTTAAAACTCATTGACTTGCCATTTTGTTTTGACAGGACACCTGCCCTTTTGTTACTAGTTCACTTCAGGGTAAAAAAAAAAAAAAAATCTTACAGAAATGGACAGTACATAAAAAAGCTCCAAATTTCAGGTGTTTCACCTTAACTAGGAATACCCAATAGCCATCAACCAATATTCTCTCATCATGTCCATTACAAAAACCACCTGCCACTCTGATCAACTCTCAGGCCCAAAATGGAGCCAAACATCTAACAGAAACTCCATTGAGCATCTCAAAAGAGACGAATCATTGTTATTGCTTCCAAATCCACAATTGTCAGTAACTTCTATACTAAACAGTCCGGCATGTAAAATCTTCACCTGCTCAAACATACCAATAACAGACTTCTAGCCCGTTCAGTTCATAGATTTAAATAAATACTATTACTAGCGAATTGGTTTCAATTCTAGTTCAAACTTACAAAACAAGCGCGCCATACCATTCACATACTCGATGTTACTTGTAAATTTCACTATTTTATGTCAACAAGTGGTAATTCTGGTGAATTTTAAGCTTAGGAAACAAAGATATGGTCATTAAAGACTGAAATCTAGTTAATATTAAGCACTGCACAATATACGCACAGAAATACTGAGAAAAGAAAAGAAAAGAAATGGAGGAATGAGAGAATTGGGAATATAACATTACACTAACTGAATGATTGAACGTAAACAGAGAATTAAGTACAGAACCATATGGGGAATCAGACACATGCAGAAAGCTCAAATCCGATCCCCTTTCTTTTCGTTTTCCCCCTAAACCCTAAAAATTAAACAAAAAAAAGAAGCTATTTATCATCATCGAAAGAGGAAAAATCTGAAAATGAAGAACCGTCCTTCCTTCCTGTGTTTCTTCAGTTCTAAGCAATGGGCTCCTTCTTTCTACTCATCATCATCATCATCCTATTTTTTTAAAAAAAATCACAATTGAGAAATAAGATTTACGCTAATTAATGAAGAAATTAACTAATTTAACACAAAGTCAACACAAAGTCAACGAACGACCTCTCCGCTCTCGTCCTCGTCTTCATCATCATCATTCACCTCTGACTTTGACTTGTCAGACTCCTCTTCGTCCGCTCCATTCCCTCCCTCAGCCTAATTTTTTGTTTTTGGTCAACGCGCACCACAAAATCACACAAAATTTTCATCCAAGAACTACAAATTCAAATCCATGAAAATTACAGGAAAACAAGAAATTACCAGTCTCTTGTTGTAAGCGAGCATGTTCTTGTTGTATTCGGACTTCCTTTTCTCTGCTTTCGCTACAAATGGAGCTTTCTCCTGAAATTTGTTATCGCCGAATTTAGAATAATGAAATTACGAGCTAATTAACGAAAAAAAAAATAGGAAAAAATGAAATAAAAATATAAAAAATAAATCTGAAACTCACAGCGTCTGACATCGATTTCCATTTGTCACCGCCAGCTTTACCGACCTGAATCAATTTTCAGATTTCAGAAAGAAGATCTAACAAACATAATTAACTATTGCTCGCGGATCGCTCATAATAAATACACTTGAGATCCGAGAGGATGATGATCAGATTTGCTTACAGCAGCCACGGATTTGTTATTCGGATGCTCCTTCTTGTATTTTTCCCTGAACTCCTCCCTATTTTCAACAACAAAAAATATGATCAGAACATAAAATTCTGCAAAAAAGAACAAAAATAGAGAGAGAAACGGATCTGAGAAGAAACAAAAAAAGCAACAAAAGAAATCGAACATGAAAACGAAGAAGGCACTGGCAGGCCTCTTAGGCTTGTTCGGATCCTTTCCGGCGTTCTTGGCCGTCTTCTTACCGGCTCCTCCAGCCTTCGCCTTCAGCCTAAAAAATTGCAAAAAAACAAATCAAAATATCAAAAACTCAGAGACTACAGATCTAAACGGAACGATTTGCAGAAAATAATTAAAAACAGAAAATGAAGAATAAAACTGAAAACTCACTTGGTATCAGTCCTCCTGGGAGCAGCCTTGGACTTACCGCCTTTCATGGCGAAACCTGCAGAGAAAACGTCAAAAACCGGTGAGAATCGGTCGAAAAGCGGCGAAAATGGAAGAGAATAGGACCGAGTCAGCGCCGAGTTACCTTAGGGTTAGCGAGATAAGGCAGAAGAAGATAGAGAGAGAAACAGAAGGAGAGAGAAAGTAGAAGGAAGAGATATGCTTTGTTTCTTTGGTGTGGTGCTTGTGTGTATATGTTGTGTTGTGAGTGTGGGAAAGGAAGGAAAGGGATAAGAAAGGCAAAGGACCTTCCGAAAAAAATAAAAAAACGAAAGGGGCCTATTTTTAGAACCCGAATTGAATTTCTGGGTTTAGGCGGGATTTCAAACGCAATAAAACAAAAATAAATATCCTCTTGCCACGTCAACGATCCGCGAGCTTTGATTCTATTGGCTCTCTCTTCTTTCTTTTATACCTCTTTTGTGTTTCCTTGTGTGTTTCTCTCTTCTCTTCTCTCCCTCACTGGCGGGAACAGTTCAAGATCGCTGCCACGTGGACTTTCCGGTACGAACAGTTTGGTATGACTTTGGGGGTGAAAGTACGAAAATGGGGCTTGTGTTTGTGCGGAGTTGGTAGTTGGGAGCCCTTTATCAAAACAAAAAACACGCTTGCTGATGCACTTGGTGACGGATATAATTGAGTCCGGGGTATGTTTGTAAATTTATCTAGCTAGATATTTTTGGAGTGAATTGCGTTTGGACTGTTACCGAATTTTTAGAGACTTGTTTATTTATTGATTTGAATTTTTAATTTGAGAGTTAAGAGCATGTTTTGTTCATGGATTAAAATTATGAGATTATAATAATTTTTAATTTATGTGTATTTTTTATGAAGGAAAATATTGTAATGAACTATGAATTATAATTCGAATCAAAAAATGAATTTTTTAATTAAACGAGTTTTAAGATGTATTTTTATATAAGAATTTTTAATTATAATAAAAAAATTAAATATTATTATTTTTAAAAAAAAATTTATTATAATAAACTCAAATTGGTAAAATGGACATGCTTAAATTTCTTTTTTCTTTTTATACGTCGAATGATTAAAATTGATGAAAATGAAAATCATTATTACAGGCAGACAAATATTTTAATGGAGAATATTAACAGACGGCAAGTTGCTGTGAGCTACTCAAAAAAAAAATTTTTTTTTTAATGGTCATAATAACTAAGGTGATGTTTGGTAGAGGGATTCGTTTCCTGAGTCAAATCATGATTCATGATTTGTTACAGTATTTTTTTTTATAAAAAAATACACGTAAATCGAAAATAATTCTAATCACATAGTTCTAATCCATGAACCAAACGGACTCTAAGAGGACGTTTATTTCTTGTATTCGTCCATGATTCTGAATCCATGAATCAAACGTCCACTAATTTACTCACGGTAATTCTAAGTTTCAGAACAATAAGGGTTGTTCTTTTGTATTTGTATTTTTAAGTTAAGGTGATTTGAGTGATGATTTTGAATTAAGTTTGAGTTATAATTTGAGTTGAAGTTGTAACTTGAGCGGGCCTGTTCGGTTCGCTAATTCGAGTTTTTAATTTGAGTGGAAATGTGATATTATGTGAGAGCTTTTTACTGTAGCAAAAAAGTTAGATGTAACTGTTTCTGAGAGCTTTTTACTGTAGCAAAACTCGAATTAGCGAAATAACGGATGTGCACATTTAAGTTATGATTTGAATTGAAAATCTTTTTGAGTTTGTGTTTGTGTTGATCAAAACTTAAATTTATATTTATATAGTATTTTAATAACAACTCAATGGTGATGAAAAATTTTAATAGGGTATATGGGTGGGGTTTTATTCATCTTTTCGTTGTGAATGCATAGAAAAAAAATCATCTCAATCAAAATTAAAACGAAAAAGTTATAGCATTTTTAATAATAGAAAAAAATATTGTTCATTAATTTGAGTTCGAGTTTATGAACTCGAGTTAGAGGGAAAACTTGAACTCAAGTTTAGCCTCAAACTTGAGTTCAAACTCGAGTTTAAACTGAAATTTTACAAAAGAACATGAACTTGAATAAAGTTGTAACTCGAGTTCAAACTTTTTCTGAGTTTCGTTGCAAAATAACAACCTCATAGTAATTTTACACTAATAATTTAAAATAGCATAAAACTCTCCGTTGAACTTATATTGAGTTGTCAATTTTTAGTACTTACATTATAGAGGCTATGACTCCATTTATTTTACTGATTTGAATTTAGAATTCAAGTTTTGCTATAGTAAAAAGCTCTTAAAAACAGTCACATTTAACTTTTTTTACTACAGTAAAAAACTTTCACATAAAATCACATCTCAACTCAAATTAAAAACTCGAATCAGCGAACTAAACGAGCCTTATATTGTTGCTTAATAAAAAAAAGTCTTCAAATTCTTTAAAAAAAATCAAAATTATTTCTTACACGATTGTAGGGTTTGTTTGTTCCTTTGCTCACAATCATCACCCTCCTTTGCCTTCTTCTAACTAATTGTGTGATTAAAAAATGATGTTTTGTTGATTTAAAGTGTCAAAATTGTAGTTCATAATAAGTTTGGTCCACAATTTCGTATCATTTTTTAGTTGTATGAGAAAAAAATGAGACGATCTCAAATTATCATTAATTCTTATTTTTAATCCAAAGTAATTCATTGCTAATGTTATATTTATCATATGTCTAAAGAAATTATTAGGTTCTTTTTTTATTTTATAAAATTCTAAGATTGACTTTTTTTCAAAGGCTCATATGAACTCAATCTTTTTTTCTTTTTTGTTTTTTTCCCCTTAAGATTGATGATTTGCATGTGCTTCTCTAAGATTTCATCTACACCAGTTAGGGTGTTCGGCGCTTTTAACCGTCAGTTTTGGTCGGTTCGATGGCCGAATCGACCATGTCAATTTTCTAAAGCCGTGCACCGAAATCGAACTGCACAAAGGAGTGGTCAGTTCGGTTAACCAAACTTCAGTTTTCGGTCAGTTTTCAGTTTTGGTAATCAGGAAGGTAGCCATTAGTTAACCATCAGGTTACCAACATCTTTAGTTGCATTTTTTGACCAGAAAATGTGATAAAATATAAAAGTTTCCTTCTATGTAAACCTGTAATCACAATAAATGAATACAAAACACAATATCTAAATTGATAATACCACAAACACAAAAATATCCAAATTCAATGTCCAAAATTTAAAGTACAAACTAAAAGTCACAATTACGGGTTGTTATGCTATTATGATTTTTGTTTTGTGGGGTTTTTGGTGATGGGTGATTTGATTCATATGCTACAGGGTGAAGATACCCAATGGATAACTGTGGAGTTACAACACACTGGACGTACTTGACATTTACAATGAAAAATGCCATAAAAGAGCAGACTTTATACATATGCTCTGCCCCAATCAAGGTGTGTAAATGCAACCATTCATTATGAGTAGATTAGCAGCAGATAAGAAAAAAATGACAGCAAATGAAGAATGAAAGTAAAAAAAAAAAACATTCAGAAAAAAATGACTCAGTTGGTTCGGTTTTTAACCGAACCTTTCAACCCAAAACTGAAACCGAACCACTTAGGAAGCAATTCGGTCGGTTAACCGAGCCGACTATATTCGGTTTCACGTGGCGCTGTTTTTATTTTTGTTTTTGAGTGGTAAGTTCTTCAGTCGGTGACGGTCGGTTTTAGTTTTACGGTTTTTTTGTACAGTCATAGCACCGGGGATCTTAGGACCTTAATGCGAAAGAAGGCTTTGATTATGGATCTACTAATATGGGCCGTATCTTTGAAGACATTTCTTGATAAAATTTTAGAATTTATCTTTAAAAATGTATGAATATAAATTTTTATCTTTTATTTTTTATAAACATACTTCTATTAATATAATTATTTGATTAAAAAAATTATGTATTAAAAATAAAAAATAAAAATTTTCACACATACACTTGAGTATTTGTTAAAATGAGCTATTAATAACTTGAGTTCTGGGCCTTAACGTGAAAAGATGGCTTTCATTATAGGTCTATGGACCGTGTCTTTATCCTACACTCTAGCTCTATTCCGTCCTGAGAAAAAATACAGGTTTTATCTTTTTAAATACACGACTTATTAAAAGTAACAATTTTAAATGAAGGATCCCAAATGAGATCACTGATGGTTGCCGAATCGAATTCGGATGTGGAAGCGTGGCGGAGAGGCGGATCAAGTATAACAAAAATTTTCATAAAATTTTTTAGATACTCTATAGATTATATTAATTTATGCATGAATAAATTAATCACATTAATTTATATGTCAAGAACTCAATTAGGAAAAATACCTAGAGCCGACTCGGATGATAACTTGAATTCTTTGACCTCGAATAATCCTTGCTCCAAGCTTTGTGTTTAGAAAACCAAAGTCTTCCATGTCAATTCCTTGATTCCACTTAGATGTGTGTGTGGGCACACTCGAGACTAAAACGGGTTTGATTAAACACTCGAATTTTTCACAAACACCAACGCATGCACGATGTGGAATTTTTGGGAGAAAAATTTTCCTTCTCTTGCTCTAGGGAATTTCGGCCAGCCCCCTTAAAGTCTAGGTTTTTAAAAAAATTGTCATGCGTAATTTTTCATAATCCCGTATTTATAGAGTAGAGGTCCAACTTCTAGGAGGAATCAAATCTCTTTCTCTTGTTTGAATTTTGAACAAAAAATTCTCCTCTACCTTATCCTTGTGTGGCCGGTGATAAGTGCACGAATTTGCACTTTTAATGTTCATAATTGTCAAACTATTTTATCAATTTTGTGATTTTAATTTCAAATATTCCTAAATTTAGAGGATTTAATTTTAATTGGATTTATTTTATTTTTCAGGTTTTTGAAGAAAACAATTGAATTTGGGCTAGTTTACCAAGCAAAACCCAAAAGTTGAGCCCAAGAAAAGCCCAATTCGGCCCAAAGCCCATCAGCCCATCAACCGAGCCGAGCCGAGAAGCCGCGAGCCAGCCCAGCGCCACGTGTCGACCGCTGCCACACCGCAGGGCATGGGACCCAACTTCCCTCCAACCAGAGCTCGCCACGCGTCCCGTGGGGTCCAGCTGCTCCCCCGCGTACGCGCGCTTGGCGCGCACGCTGCTTCCTCCGCGCGAGTTCTCCTCACGCGCGCGTCACCCGGACTTCCTCTCTCTTCCGCGTGGGTCCTGCGTTCCAGCTCCCTCCAACCAGAGCTCGCCACGTGTCCCACTGTTCCCCCGCGTACGCGCGTTTTGCGCGCACTCTCCCTCTCCGCGCGAGTTTCTCTTCCGCGCGCGTCCAGCTCTCTTCCACGTGGTCTA